ATCTATCTATCTATCTATCTATCTATCTATCTATCTATCTATCTATCCATCCATCCATCCTATTTCCCCATCCTAACAAGAGCTACCTGTTCCCTGTAGTCACTGTATACCTACACTCTATGGTTCCATGGAATATAGCTTGGTTACCAATGATTTAACAGCTAATATCGACATAAAATCAAATATTGGTCTTTTAGGGGTCTGGGCTATCACAGGGGATGATTTCTAGTCCCATCCATTTGCCTGTAAATTTTATGTTTTTTTTTTTTTTTAAAAAAACAACTGTGTAATACTTCATTGTTTAAATGTACCACATTTTCTTTATTCATTCTTTGGTTAAGGGATATCTAGGTTGTTTCCAGTTTTGGCTCTTAGGAATAGAGCAGCAAAGAACATGGTTGATCCAGAGTCTCTGTGAGAGGGTGGAACATCCTTTGGGTTTATGCCCAAGAGTTCTATAGTTAGATTTTGAAGTAGATGGATTCTGATCTTCCTGAGGAAGTGCCAAACTGATTTCCATAGTGGTGTATTATAGTCAGAGGCTACTTGTTTGTTTCCCGGCTTCCCAGACCTGAAATAATCACACAGAAACTATATTATTACAACATTGCTTGGCCTATTAGCTCATGCTTCTTATCAGCTAGCTCTTATATCTTAAACTAACCCATCTCTATTATTTTGTATTTTACCAGGAGGCTTGTGGTTTACCTGTTAGGTTCTGGCATCTGTCTCCTCCTGCAGCTACATGGTATCTTCTTGACTCTGCCTACTCTCTCTACATCTCTGTTGGATTTCCCTCCTGGATTTACTCTGTTAAGCCATTGGCCGAAAGCAGCTTTATTCATTAACCAATAAAAGCAGCACATATGCAGAAGGACTTCCCACCAGCAATGGATGGTTCCCCTTGCTCCACATCCTCACCAGCACGAGCTGTCACTTGTGTTGTTGATTGTAGCCATTGACAGGTGTAAGATGAAACCTCAAAATGGCTTTGATTTGATTTGCATCTCTCTGCTGACTAAGGATGTTGAATATTTGTTTACCTTGTTCTCAGAGATTTGAGTTTTCCTCTATTGAGATTTCTCTGTTTAGATCTGTGGGTTTTTTTTTTATTTCCTGTGGGGGAGGGGCTCAAGACAGGTTTTCACTATGCTTACTGTGTAGCTCTGACTGTCTTGTAACTCACTCCGCAGACCAGGCTGGCCTCTAACTCCATGATTCACCTGCCTCTGCCTCCCTAGTGCTGGAATTAAAGGCTTTCGACACTACTACCAGCTTGTATTACAATTACTATTTTTGATTTCTAGCTTCTTGAGTTCTTTATATATTTTAGATATTAGTCCTTCATTGAATATGGAGTTGATAAAAATATTTTTCCATTCTCTACGATGCCCTTTTAATAACTGTGTTCTTTGCCTTTCAGAAGCTTATCAATTTCATGAGGTCCTATTTATTAATTGTTGATCTTAGTGCCTGTGCTAATGGTGTCTGTTCAAATTTTTTTTTTCCTGTGCTAATGAGTTCAAGACTATTCCCCACTTTCTCTTCTGTCAGGTTCAGTGTATCTGTTTTATGTTGAGGTCTTTGATCCGTTTGGAGTTGAGTTTTGTCCAGGGTGATAAGTGTGTGTCTGTTTGCATTCTTCCACATGCAGATCTCCAGTACAACCAACATCATTTATTAAAGATCCTGTCTTTTTTCCAGTGTATCTTTCAGGTGTTCAAGGTATGTGGATTTATATCTGGGTCTTCAATTTGATTCCACTGATAAATGTTTCTGGTTTTTTGTTTTGTTCTTGTTTTTTGCCAAAACCATGCAGTTTTTATTACTATACCTTTGTAGTACAACTTGAAAATAGAAATGGTGTACCTCCAGCAGTTTGGTTTTTTTTTTTTTAATTATTCTGGGTTGTTCTAGCTGTCCTGGATTCTTTTTGTGTTTTCATTTGAAGCTGAGAATTGTCCTTTCAAGATCTGTGAAGGATTGGCATTTTGAAGGAGATTGCATTGAATTTGTGGATTGCTTTTGGTAGGAAGGCCATTTTTATTGTGGTAATCCTACTGATCCATGAGCATGGGAGATCTTTCCATCTTCTGATACCTTCTTTAATTTCTTCCTTCAAAGACTTGAAGTTCTTATCATACACATCTTTCACTTGCTTGGTTAGAATTACCCCTGAGATATTTTTATATTATTTGATGCTATTGTGAAAGGTGTTATTTCTGTGATTTTGTTCTCAGTTTGTCATTTGTATATAGGAAGGCTACCGATTTTTGTGAGGTAATTTTGTATTCAGCTACTTTGCTAAAAGTATTTATTATCTGTAAGAGTTTCCTGGTGGAAATTTTAGGGACACACACACACACACACACATGCTATCATATCATCTGCAAATAAAGATACTTTTACTTCTTTTCTGATTTGTATCCCCTTGATCTCCTTCAGTTGTCTTACTGTTCTAGCTTTATCTTCAAGTTTTATATTGAATAGTTATGGAGAGAGTAGACAGTCTTGTTCCTGATTTTAGTGGAATTGCTTTGGGTTTCTCTCTATTTAAGTTGATATTTGTTATGGACTTGCTGTAAAGTGCTTTTATTATTTTGAGGTACTTCCCTTCTATATCTAATCTCTCTAGGGCTTTTATCATGGATTTTTTCAAAAGCCTTCTTTTACATATAATGAAGTGATCATATGATTCTTTTCCTTTTAATTTGTTTTTATGGTGAATGACTTTTATTGATTTATGTATTTTGAGCCATACCTGAATCTCTTGGATTAAGCCTACTTGATCATGATGGATGATCTTTTGAATGTGTTCGTGGATTCAATTTGCAAATATTTTATTGAATATTTTTGCTTCTATGTTTATAAGGGAAATTGGTCTGTAATTCTCTTCATTTGTTGGGTGTTTATGTAGTTTGGGTATCAAGGTATATGTGACCTTATAAAATGAGTTGGGAAATGTTCTTTCTGGTTCTATTTTGTGAAATAATTTGAGGTGTATTGTCATTAAAACTTCTTTGAAAGTCTGGAAGAATTCTGTGCTGAATCCATCTGGTCCTGGGGTTGAGTTTTTGTTTGTTTGGTTGGTTAGGAGACTTTTATGGCGTCTTCCTTATTTTTTCAGATTAGTTTTTTTTTTTAAAGGCTATTTTGTCATGTATTCAAATGGTCTTACCAGCTTGTTTCTTAGGTCCATTTATTAGGAATATATTTTTTCAATCCTTTACCTTGATGTCTTTCCTTGATGTTGAGGTGTTTTTTGACTGTGACAGAAGGAAGGATCCTGTTTCCTGAATCCATTGTGTTAATCTGTGTCTTTTTATTGGGGAAATGAGACCATTGATATTGAGGGATTGTAGTGATATTTTGTTTGTGCTTTAACAAATAAATCTTGCCTGAAGATCAGAGTGTAGACCTAAACTAGGCAGTGGTTAATCCCAGCACTCAGGAGGGAGAGACCACCCTCTATGAGTTCAAGGCCACCCTGGGCTACACACCACCACCTCTTCAGGCTTGTAGAGAAACACAGCAGGTGGTGGTGACTCACACCTTTAATCTAGTGCAGGAGTCACACACCTTTAATTCCAGCACTAAGGAGGTGGTGACCTGGGAGATGGCTTTGTTGATACAGTGGTCAGTCCCAGAATGTCCTTGTTTGTGCTGGTGAAATGGCTCAGGGGTTAAGCTTGACAATCTGTTTAATTCACAGAAGTCAATGTGGAGGGAGAGACCCAATCCCATAGGTTGTTCTCTGACCTCCACATTTGCATGGTGCACACAAGTACACACACACACACACACACACACACACACACACACACACCATAAATAAATGTAAAAAGAAAAAATTAAAGCCAGGCCTAGTGGAATTCACCTTTAACTGCAGTACTCAGTAGGAAGAAACAGGTGAATCTCTGTGAGTTAGGGGGCCCCTGGTCCAGATAGTGAGTTCCAAGACAGACAGAGCTACATAGACTCAGTCTCAAAAAAATAAATAGATGTGGTTAATTTTTGGAGGTTTATTATTTCTATTTTATGTGTATGGGTGTTTTACTTACAATAGTATGTGTGAGCCTGAAGAGGGAGTTGGATCCCCTGGAACTGGAGTTATAGACAATTGGTAGCCACCACGTGGATGCTGTGAACAGAAACCAGGTCCTTCGGAAAGACAGTCAGTCTTCGTAACCACTGAGCCATCTCTCCAGTCCTGGGTGTGATTATTTTAGACAGTCCCAGCCATAAGGAAGCAAAGGCAGATGAATCTTGGGGCTCACCGACCATCGAGCATACTCTCTCGTCTATCTTTTCTTCTCATTGACCTTGCCGTGCACACATAATCCCAGAACTGGGACATGAAGGCAAGAAGACCAGCCGTTCGAGGCTAAGCTACATAGGTCGTTTGAAACCAGCCTGGGTTATACCAGACCTTATCTCAACCAGAAAGGAAAAGAAACAAAGACTTGGATACTGGGGTACACACCTATAATTCCATCACTTGGGAAGCGGATGCAGGAGAGTCTTGAGTTTTGGGACAGCCTGGGCGATATAGATTCAGGACAACCTATACCTCATAGTAAGAATCTATCTGAAAAAGACCAAATCATTTAAATCAAAGGAAAACTAGGAAGAAGGCTTTTATTAGATTCTTAAGGATGCTTTTGCGTTCCCTACCCCATCCTCATTTTAAATAATTGAGAATATATTTGTGATAATAGAAAAGTAATATATCCATTGTTTGGGGGAGGGAAGGAGACATAGAAAAAATAAGGAGGAAGATACAAACATTGACTGCTCTCAAAGTAGTCACACTCAAAACTCTGACATGCTTGCTGATGGGGGTTGAGACACATAAAGGGATACCCTAAATAGAATTCTATATCCTCCATTTCCCACTGAAATGATACGAGAAGCATTTCCCCCACTATTAAAATATCCTTGAGATTGTGACTTATGGAACTAAATTGTATATTCCAGCATAAGGATTGGTTAATAATTGTTTCGGTAACAGTTGCCCAGCAATGAATTTCAGATAATGTCCACAATTTTTTGTTCTGTTGTTTATTGAGATAAAGTTTCTCTCTGTAGCTCTGGCTATTCTGATCCACCTGCCTCCTGAGTGTTGCGTTGAAAAGCGTGGGCCACCATGCCCCATCAAGATAATGTCCACAGTTATACTACCAGTAATGAATAGTGGGGCAGCGCCGGGACAAAAAGGGGCCCCCGCTTCATACTACAAATGAGCATCTTATACCCAACAATTTCTTTCCTAACAGCATACATTCTGCAAGGTGACACTTTAGGAATAGTACTTTCTCTGAAAAGACGCCGAAAGGAACTGTTCATAGTACGATTTTATCTAAGATGTCCTCCTACAAAGGCAAAGGAAGGCCCCCAGAAATGGTCCTAACTTGCAGATACCTTGGAGCCCAGGAGCGACACGACTAAGCAAGTAACATCTTTATGATAAAGGCCCAAAATCAAAAACGACAGGAACCTTGTAGGACAAACCATCACCATAACCCCAAAGTGAAGCTAATTATCTATGATGATCAAGCTGCATCTTGGAGCAAATATAATCATCTTACCGGAAAAATAAGATTTGTTTTCAATTCTTTTAGGAGAGTTCAATATTGTAAGAGTAAAGGAAAAGTCATTAAACATTTGGGTGTAGCTGGGTGGTGGTGGCACACGCCTTTAATCCCAGCACTTGGGAGGCTGAGGCATGCCGATCTCTGTGAGTCTGAGACCAGCCTGGTTTGCAAAAGCTACTTGAAGGACAGGCTCCAAAGCTACAGAGAAACCCTGTCTCAATAAAACCAAAAAACAAAACAAAACAAAAAAAACATTTGGGCGTGCCCTTGGAAGTAGAAGAGCCCCATGGGAGGTGTAGCTCAGTAGTACAGTCCATGCCTAGCATGTTCAAATAACCGTTCAACCCAAATAATGCCGATGATGATGATAAACTGGCCTGTAATCCAAAGACTCAGGAGTCAGGTGTCCAAGGCTTCTAGCTGTCTACATCGAAGCAAAGTCTGGGCTGTATGAGAATGTCTTTTTTAAAAAAATGGGGAGAATGTAGAACTCATACCTGCCAAGTGAAACAATTACCAGCCCTCTTTATATCTCACCAGCAAAATTTCTCTCTCTCCCTTGGACTCTTAGCGTTTGCACACATCCAAGATGGTGGTGGATCAAGGCAGCCAAACAGGTCACAGCTCTCCTTCCCACCATGGGCGCGGGCGCCGGCTGCGCAGGCGCAGTCCGGCTTCCTTCGCCGACCTTGGCGGAGCGCGCCTGCGCAGTGGGGAGCGGTTCGTGGCTAGGTTTGGTGCTGGCTGCAGTCTCGGTCTGAAGGCGGCCGGCTTGAGCGCCTGTCTCCCCGAAGATGAGGCTTCTGCTGCTTCTCCTGGTGGCGGCGTCGGCGGTGGTCCGCAGCGAGGCCTCTGCCAACCTGGGCGGCGTGCCCAGCAAGAGATTAAAGATGCAGTACGCCACGGGGCCGCTGCTCAAGTTCCAGATTTGGTGAGTACGTGCGTCGACCCCCGGCCGCCCGGCCCCGGCTTCGCGGCCTAGCCGGCTGCTCGGTA